TAAGGACACTCGTCATATTGGATTAATGACCACCCATATGTCCTCACTTAACTTTAATTAGCTCTTTAAAGATCACATCTCCAAATACAGACACAATGGGGGTTAGGATTTTTTTTTTTTTTTTTTGAGATGGAGTTTCACTCTTGTTGCCCAGGCTGGAGTGCAATGGTGCAATCTCTGCTCACTGCAACTTCCGCCTCCTGGTTTAAAGCGATTCTTCTGTCTCAGTCTCCCAAGTAGCTGGGATTACAGGGGCCCACCACCACGCCCAGCTAATTTTTGTATTTTTACTAGAGATGGGGTTTCACCATGTTGGCCAGGCTGGTCTCGAACTCCTGACATCAGGTGATCCACCTACTTCAGCCTCACAAAGTGCTGGGATTACAGGTGTGAGCCACGGTGCCTGACTGAGTTAGGATTTTAAAAATGAATTTTGAGGAAAGAAAATTCAGCCCATTACAACAGAAAACACTCAAGTGAGAGGGACCAAGGAGGTATGGAGGTGGAGTGAGCATCCAGGAGCTAGAGTGGGAGTGCACAGGTGAGGCAGTCTGGTTTAATAGCTCAGAGATGCAGAGGACCTGCTGCCAGCAATCCCTTACACATGCAAATTCTAAGACATACCTGCCCATTAGCCTGCCTCTGCCAGTAGAAGAGGAGGTGCTTCCAAATGTCAGCCCCACTCTTAATCCAGGAAATCCACAAATCCTTCCATTTTCAGTACCACTTTTCAGATGGGGCTTACTGTCTCAACTCTCAACCCCCAAAGGGGCAACAGGTTGGTTTCTCATCTGGTTGGTTTGTCTTGGCAACAGGGTCCATCTTGTTGACCCTTTTGTAACAACAGGGTTCCCAGGGTAGAAGGTGAAATCCTCCCCATTTGTGGGCTCCGTTCCTGCTGTAGTTGGGTGCCACCATTAGGAAGGTCATACGACTGCTTACTGTGCCAAGGTTTTTACTGGTCAGAGGAGAGGTTGCCTGGGAGGACCCCTGTTCGTTATGGGGTTAATGCCAGAGGTGACATCTCAGCTCTGTTGTTCCTCAGGGCCCAGGGTTCAGCCATCTGTGTGTCTGGCTCCTTGTTCCCGGAGCACCCAGTAGCCACATCATCATCGTTTATTACGTCTGGACCCCAGAGTCTGGTCTGTGAGAGGGCCAGTTGTGCAGCACAAAATTAATGGCTTTGTTTGGAAGTCTCGGGCGAGAGATAGAAGAGGCAGTGTCACGGAACTTGATTTTGGGAGTTTGATGCATCGTCTCGTAAAATCTTGCTCACCAAATTAATTCAATGGTCAGGTGGCTTGGAAACTGGCCATTGACCCAAGCAAAAGTCAGAGACGGGTGATAATGGATCTATTAGGGAGGAGGCCCACGGAAAAGGCTGCCACGGGGCTCAGAGGCAGGATGGTTCTTAATTAAACTCTTGTCTGATGAGCAGAGTAACCAGCTCATCAATAATTGATGACAGGTGCATATAGGTGAGGCCCCAGCTAGAAGAAAAAATCAGGGGCAGTGAGTTCCGAGTGGGTGGCAATTCATATAGAAGCTTCTTTATTTACCCTGCACTATGAGAATTTATCAATGCCGGTGAGGGCAGGGTGGCCAGAGGCATGCTCTGCTTGTTTTGTGGAGTGTATATGTTTGCCTTACTTCTTGTCTTTTTTGTATAAGTTCATTCCTGGGGCTTAGTGCTTCTACTGTGTGTCTGGCAGGGCATTGTGTACAGTTGCAAGGGTTGTGCACCCTGCACTCCTCCCTGAACTTGTGCAATACAGTTTCCAGTCTCCACAAACAGGCACTGGGTTTTCTGTGTCTGTGGGCAGAGCACATGAGTGCTTCAGTCCATCCATCCAAAGAGCCAGAGGAATCCAGGTGGAGCTTGATGGGTGGGGGAGGGGCAGGGGGGAGATGAAGCCGAGATAGCTCTGGGAGAGCAGAAGCCCACTTTCCCCTTAACAGGTGTCTCAGGACCCCTCCCTCCTCTAACTTGTAATAAGGCAATAATGCTATTTCTTATTCTTTATTTGCCCAGAATGTCTGTTATTTTCTTTCTTTCAGAATCCAATTTTCTTTTGACATTTTTGCCTAATGTAGCAAAGCATGACCTTTGTGAGAGGACATCACTGGCAGCCTGCTCTCTGCCTCGGGTTCCCCAGGACTCCTGGCAGGCTCCCTGCCTGCTCCTCCCTCAGAGATGGGCAGGGCTGCCCATTTCACCTGGGCTGTTCCTGTCTGCTGTCTTGCTAGTTCCCACCAGTTGCTTTTGTACCTTACCGGGGGCATATTCTTCAGGGCTCAATGAGTCTGGACTTTCTGACTGCCAACTACCCATTGGATACAGCTTCTCAGCTTCAGAACCATGGGTTTTGTTCAGGGAGGCACTGGAGAGGGGTAGGGAGCTAAAGGCAGGGGACAGACACCTTCCCAAAGTGCTGCAGGGATTACCTCGTGGATTTGGAAGTTGGGGGCTTGTCCAGCTTTTGCTGCTGTGATGCTCTTGTGCATAGAGTAAACCAGGCAAAATAAAGCAAAACAGAAGATGTCTACCTAGATGAATCAAACACTTAGATTTAATAAAACCTCATAAAGCCTAATGGCAATGGAGACTCAGAGCAGTACCAAATCCTGTTGTCCTGAACCCGAAGTTTGAGCTCCTGGTCTATTAGGGTAGGGTCATGACTCAGTGGGAGTGTGTGTCTGGTCTCCAGCTCCACCCTTCTGAGCAGGAGCTGGGCTGCTCCATGGGGCTTTGCCCAGGTGGTGTCCTCAGGTGGTCATCATTGCAGTTCTTTTATCACACCTTTCTTTCTGATCGGTGGAGGAACAGTGAAAGTTTGTAGGAATAAGATGTATAGTCATTAGGGGTTTTGTGAAGCTGAGCATGATGGATGGCTTAGGTGTATAGGCTTTTAGTGAGCATATGCTGTCATAACAGAGGTCTCAGCCTTGCAGAGAGGAGGCTGGTGACAGTGTAGGGCCATGGGGACTATCCTAGAGGCTTAAAAACTCTGAACAGAGAGAGTGCTGGGTACAGGGAAGACAGCAGAACAGTAAACTTGGGAGACATCTACCTACGTTTCTTTCCCTTCTCCTCCAGTCACCTGCACCCCCAGCATAAGACTGCCTCCCCTGCACAGTAATGGGCCATCTCAGGGACCCAGCCAGTTCAGGCTGAGTTAGAACCAAGCCACCTCACCAAAAAGGGCTGCATCCAATGAGAAGGGGAAGCCATGTATCTTTGGTTTTTCTTGTATTTTAGTGTCTACCCTGTTATGAACTGGGTAGACTCTCTCCCTATGTGATCTTACCCAGCCTCAACCTCTCCCATGAGCTCTAGACCCAGGAATCCAGCAGGCACTTTGACTTCTCTCTTTGGATAGCTAACAATGTCTCAAACTTAATATCTGCAAGGGGAAGGTCTCTATCCCATAGCCTCCATGTGATCCTTTGGCAGGCTTTCTCATTCTACTCAGTGATGTCACCATTCACCTGGTCACTCAATGATGTCACCATTCACCTGGCCACTCAGTTCTCTTTCCTCTCCAAAATCCAATCCAATAGGAATCCTGGCAGCTCTACCTCTAACACTTATCTTGATCCATCAACTTGATTATCTCCACTCCCTTCTCTTAGTTGGAAGACTGTAGCAGCCTCCTAACTGGCCTGCCAACTTCCAGTCTTGGCCTTCTATTTTTAAAAATGGTAATTAGACTATGTCACTTCTCTGCTGAAAACCATCCAATGCCTTCCCACCACTCTTTAATATCAAATCCAAACTCCTCCCTATGGCCAGCAAATGTGGCGTGAATCCCTCTCCCACTTATCCCAAAGCACTCCTCAGTCCTTCCTGACTGACTTCCTTCCTGATCCCCTGGATCTCTCAGGCCTTGACATTTGCTACTTCCACTGCCTGAAACACTCCTCCCTTGGTACTCAGTTCTTTCTTCTTCTTGGCTCAGGACCAATGCTACCTTTTCAGAAGGCACTTCTCTCTGAGCCCTTCCCACTCCTGTACCAGTTACTTACATCACGGTGTTGATACTCTTCCTTCTGCTTTTCATCTCTAACTTGAATATAAGATTCCAGAGAGAACTTCCCTTCCCCCTCAATGGTCAACCCCCTCATTCCTCAGTGGAGCCTCAATAAATATTTATTGTAGAAGTCATCTAAATATAGGTGTGTGTGTAAGCATATGTATGTGTATAAACAAGAGTCTGTGTTTGCCTTTAGTACCTACAGGTTTAATAGACACAAGTATACACACATCATGTTTGTGTGGATAGATATTTACCTAAATGGAATCAGCACTGCCATTTGTTCCCATCAGTAGATGAGTACATTGTTCCTGGGATGCCACTTCAATTCTAGCAGTGTCTAACTGCTGCCTTTAAGGGCTGTTATCACATCAAAAGTTGTTTGCTGAGCCTGGCAAAGTAATAACCGTGGGCGTGTTTCTTCTTTTATCCAGAAGACTAATGGCTGCTCCTTTCCCCTGTACATCCTAATGAGAACAATTAAATAGCCATTAGGAGGAGAACAGACGTGTGAACAAAAGGCTGATGTCTTGATCATTGGTGGGCATGTTTGCTGGGAGAGACACTGGCTAAATGGAATTGTAGGTGACCTGCAGAGTTTTTCGACCTGTGTGCATGTTAAGAATGCTAGTGGGCTTATCTACCCTGAGAACTCCCTGTCCTCTTAGAGAAGGATGGCTTCACAAAGGCTCTGTAAACTTTTATTGTGGGGAGGGCATATGGGAGAATGACCATAATAATTTAATGGTTTCTTTGATTTGTAAAATCTTGCCCTTTAAAAGGCCTCAAAAGCCTATCCAAACCTGATCTATGGCCTCAACTATTAGCAGATGTATCACTAGCCTAGCAGAATGAAGAAGAGGGAAAACATAGCCAGGCTCCAGTGAAATGACTAAGCTTACTACCTAGAGCATTACTTGTGCCAGTCTTGTTTTAAAAATTTCCCTTTATTTGTCAATCTTGCAGAAACCTGTCAAGTAACCGGCTCACCACACTCTCGTGGCAGCTCTTCCAGACGCTGAGTCTTCGGGAATTGTAAGTTTGGTTTTGAAGACTGTCCAGGTACTGAAGTGCTGGTAATGGGTGAATGGGGAGAAGTGTCAAGCAATGGAACTACCTGAAGGCTGAGCATACATCTACTTGAAGAGCCTCCTTGGGTTGGTTGACATAGAATGTACCATATTCAGTGACAGCAATTAACCCTGTCGCTTGACTTCTGATGCTCTTTCTGGGCACAATCAATTTCAGAAGACAGGAGTCTCTTCTCTTATCATGACTTAATTTTGTGATCTGTAGGTAATTAGTTATAATAGTATAGATATTTATAATAAAGAATTTATAATAAATAACCTTCATAGTATATAACTTGATAGACTGTTAGGTATGCTTTCATTTATATAACCTTAGATTTATCATCATAAGAGTCATAAGAGGTAGATATTATTATTCTCTGCATTTTATGGGTAACAATTCTGAGCCCTAGAAAGACATGCGAGACTCAACTAAGACCACATTTCTAGGGACTAGCCAAGCTGGGACTTGAACCCACACCTTCTGACTTCAAAGTACGTGTCTTTTCACCACTCATAATCTTCTTCAGCATATTTGGCTTGAGTATTGACATGCAAGGAGTTTGAGGAGGCCATATATTTTTTCTATCTGCGTCTGGACTGCTTAGCCTTGCTGTGGTCCAAGGCTGATCAGGGCATCCCTATCCCAGCCAGCCATTCTGCACAAACAGATGTAGGCTGGATGAGTGAACATTCGTGACCACTGCTGGAAAAAATAACTCATGTTGATGAGTGAGTCATCGGGGTCATCTCTGTGCATGAAGGACATCATATTATGTTGAGGGTATAAATCAAGCAATAAATTGAAAAGGAATTGAGGCATGGATCAAGTTAGGGAGTCAGGGTTCCAGAGACACCACTCATGTGTTCCCTCTTATTTGGTGACGCAGATCCAAATTCACTGAATGCAGATTGCTTTACTCTACCAAGAGGCAATGACCTTGGACCTCTGCCTATGCTGTTGGCCTTTCAACTTGTTCTCCCTTCACCTAGAAAGAGCTGACTTCATGGATGCGTCAAAACCTTACCTTTTCAGACCCAGCTCTTGATGCTTTACATCAAGCATCCCAATAACCTATTACCCCATGATGACTTTGTATACTGTAGGTGGAAAAGATAAATTAACATGACTACTACAATTTACTACTAACACTGATTTCTGAGTTCTTCCTCTGTGCCAGGCATTGTGCCAAGCAATCTATTAAGTTGTATACTTAATTTACTTTAATCCTTATGGCAATTCTGTAAGTAGGAATTATTACTATCACTTCACTTTGGAGGACACTAAGATGCTTAGCAAGGTTAAGTATCCTGTTTAAGGTCACTCACTGAATAGTGGCAGGGTGTGGACCCAAAGCCTTGACCACTGTGCTCAACTATCTCCCAATGTTTTCAATCTGTTTCCAACACAAGGATCTATTCTACGATAATTAAAAAAAAAGACATGATTGTGGTCTTTCTGAAGTTACCCTAGAACTGACTGAGGGCCTTGGAGGATCTCTTTCTTGGGTGTCTTGCATGTAATTATTCTGGAACCCATAGCCCCTTCATCTTCAGGAGACCAGGGATGGCATCTCTCCAAGGAACACAGGGGGTCTGCTGTTGGCTGAATTATTGAGAAAATGTTCAGCGTTCTTTCTAAAAAATTATTGGATGTGAAATCAATGGTGTGCTGCTGCCCTGGTGACCTGTTTCGTGGAGTTTTAGAAACAGTCATTTCGTGGATATATATTTAAAGAAAATGTCAGATTTCTCCCAGAGGATCATGGGATTCTACATTCATCTTTGCCTGGGATCAATACACCAGTGAGCTAGATGTGACTTATGGAGGAATGAAGACATTCCCTCCAGTGTGAGTCAGTGTGTGAGTGCCACCATGTCAATGGTACATTTATTTCTGTCATATTGTTAACTAAGAAAAAATTATATTAGAGAATAAAGAAGCCCCCCTCTAAGGAGCAGTCACCCTGGTAGGGGTCTAGTTTTTGAGGAAGAATTGAATCTTGAGAGAGAAAAATTTATCTTTTGGCTGGAGGGGCCGTGTGTTGGCTCTTAGCTGTGGCTATGATTAAAATCCAAACAATCCCGGTTCCTGGCAAATGGAAGAGGGGGTAGTATTTTCTTGTCTGACTTCCTGATTAGTCCACATGGCGCCATCTGCCATGAGCCATCTAGACTGCCAGGGTCTGCTCGATGGAGCCTGTGGGCTGGGTTGTGGGGATGGGTTGGGTATTTCCAGGAAGAAAGAATTTTGGCCCTGGAGGAGAAAGGGCTCAGTGCGTTGTGGAGCCAGGAAAGCCGCAGACCAGAAGTGTGAGACTTCAAGTGACCCTCTGCAGGGACAGAAGAGGTAGAGGGTGCACAGCAATTCCTTAGCATGTTTCTTTCCATCGTTAAGGACCTCTGCTGTACCCCAACCAGCCCCTTGCCCAGTAGAGGATCCTTGCTATAAGAATGGAAGGTCTGAGTGTCCACGACTTTTCCAGTAGGGCAGAAGGAGAAGGAAGAGGCACATCTGGAGCACCTCATGTGTGTGAGGTTCTGTCTTATCCTTGGAACAATCCCACAGGGAGGTAGCCATATAACCAGTGTTACAAATGAGGGATTTGAGGCTTGGCTAAGTTAAACAGCTAGTTCAAGATCACATGGCTAGTAAGTGGTACATCTGGGAATGAGTGTTATGATTTTTATTATCACTACCCTGATCTGATCTGCTGTTTCCAAAGATGATGCTCTTTCTTTCACCTGACTCAAGCAACACACCCTGCATGCTCAGCCTCTCCTTCCAGAAGCCCCTCTCAAGATGGCGGGTCCCTTGAATGGAATAAAAGGAAACAACCAACCAACCAACCAAACAAACAAGTTACCATCTCAGAGTTCCTGCAGTGCACCAAGACCCTTCCTCTACTTTCTCTTATTTACTTTTGTGGGATGAGGGGGATGGTCTTGACCAAGACCCTGGCTCATGACTTCCCCTCTGTCCGGGGGGGCGTGCCTCTTATTGAGTGAATTGGAAGCATCTTCCATGATCTGCCTTGGAGTAGCCAGCATGGTTTCAGTGGCACAGGTTGGAAAAATTTGACTTGGCATTGTGCAGTGCTCTCAGAAGTTTCTGGTTATGGCAAGATGATTTTTTTTTTTTTTTTGCTTGCGGAGAAGATTGTCCAAAAATCAGAGCAAGAATCAGAGAGATTGTCTTAGAGATAAAGAATGAATTAGAAAGAAAAGAAGCTTAGGTTCTGAATCTCAAGATACAGTTTAGGCAATGGCAAGAGGTCCCAGAGGATGTAGACCCACAGCACAGAAACACTCCAGCAGTGCCCCAAGGACCCTTAATTTATCTTGAACAGGCTTCTCTGAATACCCTGCATGCATGGAGCAGACATTATTAAAATAGATTGGAGTATTTCATTTTCTTTTAAAGGAAAGTGATAATTACCTCTGGTATCATTTGAAGATTTAATCGACTTTGTAAAATATTAACTCAGTAGCGGGGATGGGTTTGGGCTGGTCCTGGTGCATTTCTCTTCCCAGTCTTGGCTGTGAAAACTTTCCACAGCTCTTGGAGACGTCACTAAACAATAATGTTACTGATAGTATTAGTATAGTGATCATTTCTGGCCTCTTAGTAGTTTCTTTTTGTTCCCAGATCATGCTAACATACATTATCGTGAATCCTCCTAATGAATTTGTGAAGAAGGAAGGTCGAGCACAATGATCCCCATTTTACTGGTGTTAAAAGAGAACCTTAGAGAGTTAACTTATTTGCTGTATTAGTTTCCTAGGCTGCTTTAACAAATTACCACACACTTGCTGGCTTAAAACAATAGAACAGGCTGGGCATGGTGGCTCACGCCTGTAATCTCAGCACTTCAGGAGGCCAAGGCGGGCGGATCACGAGGTCAGGAGATCGAGACCATCCTAGCTAACACAGTGAAACCCCGTCTCTACTGAAAATACAAAAAATTAGCTGGGCATGGTGGTGGGCACTTGTAGTCCCAGCTACTCAGGAGGCTGAAGCAGGAGAATGGTGTGAACCTGGGAGGCGGAGCTTGCAGTGAGCTGAGATCGCGCCACTGCACTCTGGCCTGGGCGACAGAGCCAAACTCTGTCTCAAAAAACAAACAAAACAAACAAACAAAACAATAGAACATTATTGTTTCACCATTCTGGAGGTCAGAAGTTTGAAATAAGGGAGTTGGCAGGGCCATACTCCCTTCAAAGCCTTTGTGGGAGAACCCGTCCTTGCCTCTTCCAGTGTCTGATGGCTCCTAGTGTTTCTTGGCTTGTGGCAGCATCACTTCAACCTCTGACTCCATATCATATGCCTGCCATCCCTGTCTCTTTGTCTTTAATCTCCATCTTCTTTCTTTTTCTATTTCATTTTATATTTTTGAGATAGTCTTGCTCTGTAGCCCAGGCTGGAGTGCAGAGGTGTGATCTTGGCTCACTGTAACCTCTACCTCCCAGGTCCAAGTGATTCTCCTGCCTCAGCCTCCCAAGTAGCTGGGATTACAGGCATGCACAACCACACCCAGTTATTTATTTATTTTTTTTGTATTGTTAGTAGAAATGGGGTTTCACCATGCTAGCTAAGCTGGTCTCGAACTCCTGGCCTCAAGTGATCTGCCCGCCTTGGTTCCCCAAAATGTTGGGATTACAGATGTGAGTCACTGTGCCCAGCATGTCTTTCTTTTTTAAGGGTACCAATCATTGGATTTAAGGCCCACTTGAAATCGAGAGTGATCTTATCCCTTGATCCTTAACTTGATTACATCTGCCAAGACTTTATTTCCAAATTAGGTCACATTCACAGGTACTAGGGGTTGGACTTGGATATATCTTTTTGGAGGACACAACTAAACCCAGTATATTCACTCGAAATGACACAGCTGGCCCAACTCAGATGTTTGGTTTGTGTGCTTTTCCTACCATCTGACTGTTGTTATCTCAAGGAGGCCTGTG